AGTCTGTCATTACTAGTGGTACATGTACATGTATGTACTACATGTATGAGCAGGCACATATGTAATTATAATAATTACTTTAAGTTGTTACATGCTGATTATCACTAAGCAGATCCCATTTAAATATTAATCACAAAGTTTTATTATGTATTTTAGTGGTATGTGATACCATAGCACAGTTGTTCACATCTATGCTACAAAATTCATTAACACAAGCTACATGTATGCTTTATTATAATGCTATTATGTTATAGCTGTAGGGAAGTGGATGGAGGAAGGGAGTGTTGATCTAACTGTTACTCGTGTTAATATGCTTGGTGCTCCTGGAGCTGGTAAAACCTGTTCACAACTCCTCCTACTAAATGAAGACCCACCCACTAATGACACCAGTACACCTATCGCCTGCCCTGCCGTTAGGGCTACAAAAGTTGCCGTTTCTGATAAATTGGTTTGGAACCGAGTAACTCGAGCCAATTTACTTGATGAATTAGCAACCGATTTGACTACACTAACTGCTGATTTAAAGCAAGAGAAAACAAAAGAACCTCCTGTGCCTGCAGTCCTCTCATTGCCAGATAATACTGTATCATCAGCTGAAGTATCATCAGATCTATCTCCTACTCCACATGTGGCTAGTCCAGCAGTTTCATCAGACATGAAAAATATTAAAGAAGATAAAAAGTATCATACTGAAGCAGTTGTCCAAGAAATTTTAGCCACTCAACCGAAAGGGATTCATATAAGTGATCATTGGCTGTATGTTATTGATTCTGGTGGTCAGCCAGCATACCAGGAGCTACTGCCTTTATTCACTAGAGCAGCTTCTCTCAATATCATAACACTGGATCTATCTAAGCCTTTCAATGAGAGGTTTGATCTGATGTACAGGATTGATGGACAATACTTCCCATGCCACTCCAAGTCAACTCAGTTAGCATTCTTCCAGTCTGCAGTTTCCACTGGAGCTAGTTTTAAGCCTCTTGATATTTCCTGCATCTCCAAGAAACCGACACACTCCATGCATCTTGTATTGGGAACGCATTATGACAAGGTGAGTGATGCTACTCTAAAAGACAGGGAAGAGATTTTAAAGTCTTCGATGTCTTCGTTGGAATCTTACTTGCAAAATTGTGTTATTCATCAATCTGATGATTCTATTATATTTCCTATCAACACGATTTCTGCATCAGAAGAAAGAGCTAAATATAGTGAAGAGATCTGCAAGGCAATATGGTTGGATGGTTCCGCTGCTTCACTCAAGATAAAAATACCAATTCGATGGTTTGCATTTGAGCTGTCTTTGCCCGATAAGCAGAGTATTGTATCAGTTAAGGAAGCTTTATCTATTGGAGAAAGATACGGGATGAATGAGGAAGATACTAAACAAGCTTTGAGATATTTCCATGACGTCAGTCTCATGTTATATTATCCACAAGTTACAAATGTTGTCT